GTGGAGGAGGAGGAGGAGGGGCGGCACACGCCGCGGCCTCGCGCTCCTCCGAGGAGTCGCGGTCTCCGTCCCGCGAGTCGAGCAGCGGGAGTGAGCCGGCCTCACCGAGCGACAGCGGCGCGCACACTCTTCGATGCCCCCCCCTTAGATTCCCCCCTTAGATTCCCCCCTTAGATTCCCCCCTTAGATGCCCCCCCAGGTCCTCGCGGCCCCCCGCGCACACTCTTAGATGCCCCCCCTCAGACCGTCCTCCCGCCCGCCGCCCGCCCTGACCGCTGCACCCCTGCCCTGCACCCCTGCTTGCTGCACCCCTGCTCGCCGCACCCCTCTGCTCGCTGCGCCCCCGCTGCGTGCTTGCCGGACACGTCCGCCCGTCCTCCGCGCCGCATGCCCGCTCCGGGACATGTCCGGGACATGTCCGGGACAGCTCCGTGACGTGCCTCTCCTTAGGCGCCGCCGACGACGACGACGCGGCGATCGCGCGCGGCGGCGCGGCGGCGGTGTGCGGGGCGGAGGCGGAGGTGGTGGCGGAGGTGGCGAAGGCAAAAAGCCGCGGCGGCAGCGGCGGCGATTGCGGCGGGGGCGGCGGCGGGGGCGGGCTGGGCGGCGGCGGCGGCGCAGCAGCAGCAGCAGCAGCAGCAGCTGCTGCAGGAGGAGGACGACGACGAGGACGACGATTTGCCCGCGTGGTTGCTGGAGCAGCTCGTATGCCGCGTGGCTGCGGCGCTAGTCGAGGCGGCGTCGGGGCCGACGCTGCCGCTCGGCGGTGCTTTTGTGGTGCGGGCATAGATCCCATGGCACCCGAACCCACCCTCCCCCTACCCCACGGTACCCGAACCCACCCCTCCCCCGCCGCAGGTGCTGCACGGCTACGAGTCGCCCTACATTGGCGACGCGGGCTTTGCGATCGCGCCGCTCGAGTGAGGGGGGGGGGTGGTGCGCGCGCGACCGGGGAGGGCGGGAGGGGCCGGGACGAGGCATGCGGGACGGGGAGACTCGCGATCGCGTTCTTCCCTCATCGAGAGGCCCGCTGCATGCCGCGCCTGCACACGTCGCTGCTGGTCGCCTCGCCCACCACATCCTCCGCCGCTCGCTGTGTGCGCCCTGCGGGAGGCCTCCTCCTCTTCATAGTTCCGGGACTTGCCGTCACGGCCCCCGCGTGCGCGCGTCCTTTGAGGGGAGCAATCCAATGACGGAAGCGCCACGCCCGGCGCGGCGGAGGAGGTATTAGTGGACCCCCTCCTCGCGCAGCCTTTGCGGGCGCATGCTTGGGGCGCCCGCGCATGGGGCGGGCACGCTGCGGGAGTCTCAATGATCGGCTAATCTGTGAGTGTCCGAGAGCACTCCCACCTAAGATGGTCGAGACAATCAGTCACCGACGCATGTAACGTTTGTGTGAATAAGAATATGTTGAAAATACGGCTTTCAGATTACACTCTACAATCTACAACACATGAAATGCTCGGCGGTGTCGGCGGTCGGCGCCGACATGCGACAAAAAAGTCAAAAAACGAAAAGTAGGGGGGTGGACACTGGACAGCGTACGCTGGTTGGGTAGTAGTCTAAGTTCTGAGCCTCGAGGCTGAGCGGGTCTAAGTGTCCTTTCTACCTACCTACCTTGAGCACCGAGCGAGGCCGAGCGGTCCCGAGCGGTCCCGAGGGACCCGAGCGGTCCCGAGTGGCCCCAGAGCAACCGCCAACCCTTGAGCAACCTTTCGCGCACCCTTTAGCGGCTAACCTCGAAATGTGCACCTTGGATGGCTGCGCTCCCTGTTTCACAGACATCCGTGTGCTAAGGATGGCTGGCACCCCTAGATCTCAGCCATACACTCCTACCGGATGGCTGAGTACAGGCTGAGATCTAGGCAATCCACAGGATCCTAGCCACTCCGCCCTCCCAGCACGCGCCATTTTGGCTGCCTTCCAGCCAGTGCAGCCATCCTCCGGCCGATGGCTGCGATGGCTGTGTCCCAGCCATCCGCCCGGCCGCAAGATGGCTGCCATACAGCCGTCGCAGCTTGGGATGTAGCAGGTTTTCCGGAAAACAAAAAGGAAAACAGAGGGTCCCCGGCACTTTGCGTTTCCGGAAATTTCCAGGGAAAACAGAGGGTGTTTGGTGCTCCATTCTGGAAACTCGCGAGTTTCCCTGAGTCTGAGAGCTGGTCTGGGGCAAAATCTGAGGCAAAATTGAGGAAATCGACAAAATACCCAGGCGGTCGCAGGATAATTTCCAGGTATACACGGGTTCGCGGGGGACGCTCGCCCGTGCCAAAGTAGTGCGACGCGTCTGCGCGCCACGACTCGGAAGCAAAGCCGCCGAAGACGCTGCCGTCCGCGTCGAGCACGACGAGCAGCGAGGGGCCGCGCGAGGCGAGGCGGCGGTAGAGGGTCTGCAGCGAGCAGCCGTGCTGGTCGGTCGAGAAGGCCAGCCGCCAGTCGTGCTGCCGCAGCCGAACCGGCAGCGCGGCGCGCAGCGGGCACAGCGCCGCGAGCGGGAGCACCTGCAAGGCGCGCATGGCAGTGAGCGCTGCGATGGGACCATCCTTTCATATACACGCCCCACCCCAAAGGAGTGGTGGCAGCAGTGGCGACACGCGGGGACAGGGAGTTGTGGCAGCAGTGGCGACACGCGGGGACAGTGAGGGGCGGCGGCAGCAGTGGGCCACCGTATGCAGCTCGGAAGAGGAACCAAGCAGCGAAGGCGGGTCGGCGGTGCTGTCGCTCTCCACGGGGCACGGGATCGCGGCGCTCGGCGCCCTGCTCCTCGCCGGTCCAGGTGGCATCACCTCTGCCGCGAATGCATGGCCGCGAGCGACGTGCAGCCGCATGTTGCGCAACAGACGGCCTGTATGGCTTATGTCGATGAAGCGAAAATTGCGCTGCTGCTTTGAGTTGGAAGCCTCAGCGACGGTGAGCGGCGATGCCGACTTTGTCCGCCTGCGGAGTTTGCGGACGACGAGGGCCACTCCAATGAGGATGACGGTGAACGCGGCCATCATGCTGTGGCGCTGGACTAGCACCGTCTCGTAGCGGAGCACGTCCTGGATCGACGGCATTGGCCGGCGACAGAAAACCGCGCGAGTGCGACTGGGTTCGGGCTCCTTGCCGTCAAGGGGTCTCCCCTAGGTAGGTATATTATTATCGTTCCCTGTCCGGTCGCACCTTGCCTGTTTCCCGCCTTTCCCCGAGAGGGTGAAACCTCATGCGCGGCCATGTCATACCGACATGCCTTGCGGCGGGGGCTCCAGCACCTCCGGCACCGGCAAGACGCAGAGCCACACACGAAGCAACGCGGACGGGCTCGAGCGGAAGCGGAAGCGCCACCGGCCGTCGAAGCGCCGCGCATCGAGAACGGCGCGGAAGAAGATGAGGATGCAGAAGAGGCAGTGCAGGCCGTACGCGGCGCCGAGGTGCCAAAAGGCGTGGCCGATGGCACGAAAGCCGTCGGGCATGGCGTCGCAGCCCTTCTCGACGAGGTTCCAGCAGACGAAGCCGAAGAGATACGACGCCACCCCGACCCAGAGGTACACGCGTGCCGCGCCCAGCAGCGCCCATTCGGAAGCAGGCGCAGGCGAGTCCTTCTGGTCGTCCGATGTGGCGGTCGAGACCAGGTGTGAGCCCGTGGGGTGGATCATGTGCGGCATGCCGCAGTGTAGCATCGCCGCCGCGGTGAGCACCATCAAGAGGATCGGTAGGTTGAAGACTAGCACAATGCTTCCGGGGATCGCAAGCAGCCCGCCAAACGGCGCGACCACTGTCATGCCGAGCGTCATGACCGCGCAGACGAGCAGCCAGACGCACCCGATGCAGACAGTGCGTAGCGAGGGCCCGGCGGACGCGCAGCACGAGCACCAACGTGGCCACACGAGCTCGACCAGCGTCTCGAACCACAGCGCAGCAGCAAGATTCACCGCCAGGATCATGCTCGCGCCATCCCAGAAGTCGAAGTAGACGTGGTGGGTGATGTGATTCATCATCGATGTGATGCCGTTGAGCAGGATCAGGATGTTCAGATAGCGGGCCACCGGGAAAGAGTGTCTGGCGGTGAACAGCTCGTACCCACCGAGAAAAATGATGAATGCCGCGGTCGCCGCCGCACCAGGCTCAAACTTGCCGGGACGCTCGCCCACGAATGGCGGCTCTTCGGGCCAAGGGCCGGTGCGGTTTGAGAGCGCCAAGAGGGACTCGCACCAGCCGCCCGAGCGGGTCGAACGCAGCCATTCAGTGCCGGTGCTGTTCATCGCCTGGCGGGTCGGTGGTTAGGGCGTCTCGCGAGGAGCTGTGCCACCGCAATGCCGATGGACTCCAAAGCGAGCGCGACTCGGCTTTTCTTTTTCCTCCCTTTGGGAGAGCCTTTTTGATGGCACGGCAACATGCGGAGGCGATGGCGAATAAAAAGAAAGAAAACGGACAACCCAAGGGAGGGATGGGAGGACGGCACGCCGCCACCACACAGCTTACAATATCCTGACCAAGCGTTCCAACGCATGGCTAAGAGATAACGACGCCAGCCATCCAGAACAAGGGTGTGGTGGCTCGCGGAGCGAGAGTGGAGCCACCTGCGCTCGTTCGTGTCGGGGGCGGGGAGAAGGCTGGGTCGATCGAATTCGCGACAGCCATCCTCCGCGCTCCGGCCATCCGGCCAAATGGCTGCGACGGCTGTATGGCAGCCATCTTGCGGCCGGGCGGATGGCTGGGACACAGCCATCAGCCATCGGCCGGAGGATGGCAGCGCTGGCTGGAACGCAGCCAAAATGGCGCGTGCTTGCTGGGAGGCGGAGTGGGTGGCCAAGGATGCTATGGATGGCTGCGAAACAGGGAGTAGAGCTCTAGTGAGTGAGTGAGTATTCTTGATACGAAACCACGACGACACACACCAGTCGACTCGCATCGGTTGCCTCCATTAAACGGCGGACACACACTCACGGAGTAGAGCTCTACTTGGAGCGCAGCCCATTCGACGTTAGCCACCTTTGCGCTACCTCTTCGCAACCTCTCCAGCACTCTCCAGCACTAGCTGTACTTAGCTCCCGATGGAAGTCACCCGCCTGCTTTTGCTGGCCGGGCTCGCGGCAGACACTCGGGCCATCGCTGGCTACGCCCCTGGCTCGGATGACGATGCTGTCGCCTCGACTGACGCCCGGCGCCAGATGTACGACGGAAACCGTGGCGGCAGCAGAACGGGCGGCGGCGGCCAGCAGGCGACCGAGGCGGCGCTCTTGGCCACGCCCCTCGCCCGGCGCTCGCTCGCGAGCACCGTCACGCACGGCACGATCTTTGGGCGCAAGATCGGGCAGACGATGCAGATCTTTGCGTACTCGAGCGACACGGCAACGATCGGTACGTCCGGCGTGCTCATCGACGCGGACACCGCCCTCTCCTGGCAAACCGTCGAGGTCGCCTTTGCCAACGGCGTGATCGAGAGCGTCGCCGCCGAGAACGGCCTCACTGCGACTATCAAAACGAACAACAAGGAAGTCGGCGTCGGCGACATGGGTGGCTCGGGCGACACCCACCCCGCCGGCCTCGTCATGACTGTCACCTTCACCTCCGGCACGGACATGGACAGCGTGTACATCGACTTCTCGTCGAGCACAACCGTGATCTGCATCTTGACCTGCATCCCGTTTACCTCGACGCCCCGTGTGGCGACCGTCGTGCAGGACAAGAGCAACAACCTCTACCTGTTTGCCTCGCCCAACACGCCCACCGACGGCAAGGCTTCGACCATCGAGATTGCGGTCACGGGCGCCGTTGACGAGAGCGACATCACCGCCCTTCTCGCGTACATGGAGCCGCAGGTTGGCAGCGGCTTCTTCGGGCTGACCTTCCTCGACGGCGTGTCGAAGCTCCCCGACGGCGAGGCGATCGCCGTCACGTCTC